AAAAAAAAAAAGAATCAAACATCTGTTTTGTGGTAACTCTACTCATTCAATGAATAGTTTCTAAACTACAGCTAGGATTAAATTAAATGCAAAAGTCTCTAAGGTTAGCTTAAAGAACATCAGAAATATGGACCAAAATTTCATTATAAAGAGGGTGAAAATATGGAGAATTATACTTTGACACCAAGGTGCATTTGAATATTTTCATGCTGTTTAGAGATAAAGATGGCTAAACTCCCCACATATTTTGGATCTGTTATTTGAAGGAATTGATCCCTAGAAAATGACTTCATTCTTGGTCTAGCTGAGGTTAAATTAAAAAGACAAAGAAATGAATTGACATAATGATATAGTTGTTGTAGCAATAGGTTCCAATATAATATTATACCATATATAGTACTGAGCAATATTATGTTCTGCTGTTTTTAAGAAGGCTATTAATGAGAGTTAACCCAATAGTATCTAACAAGAAGAAGAAACAAAGTTTTTAGGAAAATCTTGGAAAAAGATCTATCTGGCCTATTTTTTGGTAATTCTCAGTATGAGCTTTGAAAAGTCAAATTTCACTCAATACTTTATTAAAATGGTAAATATCTGGGTGCAATTAGTATAATACAGGGATAATGATAATTGTGTAAGATTTACTAAAAGACACCAAAACAAGTTAGCAGTGAGGATACACTATTGAATAAACTAAGGTTTGGTTTAGTGCAAGAAAAGGTTCAGACCTTTCAACTATCTGAAAGCTGAATGTTTGTAAGGAAGAATTTATTGAGAGTAGAGGGTGGTACAATTATTCCAAAGTAATCACAGATTTATATACCATGAAGGCAGAGCTTCAACGATGGTTCCATCCTCTGAAAAAAGACAGTAGCACCCTAATCAAAGATGGTGACTATCCACACCGCTTGGAATGTTTAGCTTTCCAGACCACTGACAGTTTTCTTACCTCATACTCCAGGGTTCAGAAAAGGCATACTACTCTTTTGAGTCTCCCATGCTAGGCTTTCCTGTAATTTTTCCCCATTCTTGTTACCCTGATGAAGCAACCATTTTAACAATCCCAGTGTGTTCCTGTTTCACTTCACTGACCATGAAAGAATCAATTTGATGCTTCACATTGGAAGGCAAGTTGGAATTGTCCATAAGATGGACATTCAAAGTATGGAGACTACTGCATAACCAAACTCTAGTCAGTTGCCCTATTCCTATTATGTTCAGCAAATTACTTATCACTTTTCATATTATGTAAAAGTTTCCCATATGAATTTAAATCCCATAAAAAGTATGTTGAAACATTTTGGCACTCTCTCAGGGTTTTCATCCCCCTCTCTCATGTATCCTTTCAATATCTAGATCCCCTTCCTAACTTTAAACCAATTAGGCTGAGAACTTCAAATCAGCCAAATCCCCTAAGTAGAAATAAATCACTTACAGATAGAAGAAGTAAAAACACAACATGCTACTAATTTTAGAAGTTATTTGGGGAACTTTTATGGTTAATATTTGAGAACTAACATTGCATAGTTGTGTAACAATGTATTTGTTGTTGTGTGCTGTCAAGTCACTTGCGACTCATAGCGACCCTATGTACAAGAGCCCTAAACCCTGCTTTATCCTGTGCCAACTTCACTGTCTCTGACACACTCATTTCCAACACCACAATGAATGCTAATATTTTTATATATTCAAATTAACAAATTTGTCTTAAAACATTTTTCAACAGTGAAAGTTTTGCATGTGATTCTCCACTGAATTAAGAATCTCTAAACTATTTGATTAATTGGTAAGGAAAACGTAGCTTTCTGATTCAAATCCTGAATGCCAACTTTTAATTCAAAATAGAGTCTCAAAGGCACTCTTGGAAAGCCCTGGAAATATGGAGTTATAATGGAAATGCTGACGGACCACATTTGCGCGGCTATAACAAAACCTGACTGGAAGATAAATGTTTCATGAATTAAGAAAAGTTATAAAAGCTTTTATCTTCAGCTTTGTTCCCAAGATAAAAGTGAATCTACTCTTTTTTGTGGTATAGGGAATATCTAGACTACTAATATTCTAGTCTGCAAACTCCTTTAATCAAAAGTAATACTCAAACTGGGACATTAAAATTTGGAATATCTTCTTTGATGAATTCTTGTCTGAATTGTTTTCTTTCAGAGAAGTAGAACAAATTAAAAAGAAGAAAGAACTTCACAAAATTAATCACGTGACCTAATAAGCCATTTGCAATAGTATCCAGTACTTTTGGAGAACTCTCTCGAAGAGCAATACTGGCTCTAAGAGCAAAAAGACCTAGGAGATAATTTCTACTTCTACCTGCTAGGTCACCTTAAGACAAGTTGTTTTAAAGACAGGAGTTAATGCACATGAAGGGTTGAGTGCAATACTTAGGACAGAGGAAGAACATAAATGGTTTAATGTCTCTTAATACTAGAGATATATACTATTTAATGTTGATAATTCTCAAATTAATATCTCCATTGTTATCTCCAAATTTGCTTATCTGTTGGCTAACTTGAAGTCTTGGAAGCATCAGAGCTATTTTCTTCTGTCAGTCAGTCAGATTTCATTCTTACACAATTCTACAATCTCCATTCCTGGATTTCTACCAGCTGAATCAATTGGCTCTCAGGCTTCCTGTCCTCTAGGATGATACGATCAGAGGGAATCCTTAGCAAATAAGGAACAAGCTGAAAGACAGATTGTTGTTGTTGCTGTATGTCACCCAGTCAATGATGACTCATGGTGACCTTGTGAACAGTGGCTCTGACCTCTACCCTATGCTGAGCTAACCTCACTATTTCTAACTCACATGGCCTTAGATTATAGTCACTGTGTCAATCCACTTCATTCCACATTTTCCTCTTCGGCATCAATCCTCCATTCTTTCAAGCATAATGTCCTTATCCAAAGACTAGCCCCTCCTGAAATAAAGTATGTGGGAAGGAGTTTTAAAACCCTGGCCTCCAAGGAGCAATCTGGTTTTACCCTTTCAAACATATACTTGTTTGTTCTCTTAGTAGGCCACCAGATACTCAATACTATTCTCTAGCATTACAACTCAAAGGCAATGATTTTTCTGTCATCTTAGTTCATTGTCCAGCTGTGTGATACATAGCAAGTAATTGAGAAGACCATGACTTGTGTCAAGGACACTTTAGTCTCTAGGTTGACATCTTTGCTCTTTAGAACTCTGGAGAAGTCACAGACAACAAGTAATCCCAATGCAACTTGTCCTTTGATTTCCTGACTGCTGGTGCCAAGGATATTGATTGTGAATCTGAGCAAGATGAGATCATTAACAACTTCAGTCATTTCTCAATCTATCATGATGAGTCTATTGACCTGGAGGGGGTGATTTTTGTTGTCTTGGTTTTGAAATGCAGTCCATATGGGAGAATATGGTCCCTGACCTTCTGCAGCAGATGCTTTTAAGTCTATCTCAG